ACAGACCCCACGGACTAAAGGGGGCAGTGCGTGACTCAGCAGGTGGGGGTACTGTGCCTGTGATCCAAAGGCTGCTGGTACAAATCTCTGGGGGGGCCCGTGAGCACAACCCCTGACTCCCACTTGCTTCACGGAGTGTCTGAATATAGTTTATCAAAAATGTGCAGTCCTTCGAATAAAATCATAGACTAAATTAATGTACTGTAAATAAAACTGATGGTAAATCACATATGACCTTTTTCCTCCCAGAATTACAGTGCCTGCCTGCCATGGAAGACCACACCCACAAAGGCTACTCGCAGTGAAAATGCTTCCATATATACAGCCCTGGAAAAAATTAAGAGACAACAGGAAAAATTTGTGTTTCACTCATTTCTCAATTTCTTGTGTGTCTGTGAGTAATATAATTTTATTAATTTATTTGCAAACTGCAGCATGGTTCTTCTCTGTTTCTCATTAATTAAACAATTAATTATTAATTATTAATTATTACTTTATAAGATTGTCATTTTTACCTGCACTTATGTCACACCCCGCTCCGTCCGATCCTAATGTGTGCCACGCCCCCTCGTTAACCTCATGTGGAATCCCAGTGTTTTACAGCTGTTTTGGATTGTTGTCATTAGTTCAGTGTATTTAGTCCGCGTTTCCGTTTGTATCCCCAGTTCGGTCATTGACGTTGTTGTGGTGTGCTTTGTGCTCTGTGTGCTGTCATTAAAACCCGTATTCCCCGATCCCTGACGTCCGTTCGCCTGCCTCCCCGATCCGTGCTGCACGCGACGTGACACTTAATGTTTCCCATTCCTTCTGAAAGTTACTTGAGGTCATTCCACAATTCATGAGAAACTGTCGGATAAGTTAACGGTCATCTCTGGCATTAGAAAGTCGCTTCCACCCTCTACCTGGCTGGTTCCTGCTCATTCCCGGTGTCTCCTGCTTCACCTTATTCTTGTGTACTGCTATCTTACAGATTGTGAACCTGAAAGCATCCTGCTGCTCAGCGCAGCTTCTGCCAGCAGAACCACAATTAAACCATGAATTAAAAATGCAGATTTGTTTAAAAATATAGAGTGGTCTCTTAATTTTCTCCACGGCTGTGGTGTATATACCTGGTCTTTTTATTAAAATAAAAGATTAATCAGGTTTAATCACCAACAAGATAATCAAAACTTAACCTGACTCTCTGTCAGAGACCCGTGACCTCATGGTAGAGTAAAGCTGTGTGACCCCAATACTGCCTCATTCAGCTTCTCTGTGGATTTTCCCTTTTTTCTGATCCTGTGCCCTGCAATAATTCACAGACATTTCATATTAAAAAGCCATGCTAAGTCCAAACCGTCTCCCTCTCAGTTGCCATGGAAATGGACCCACCCAGACAATGCAGAGCTAAAGCGGAAGTAGCTGCAGGTACCAATGGAATAAATCAGGGTATTCTTGTACCTACAGAGTGAGGAGGAAAATAAGATGGGCTACATGCTTGATAAATCGTGCCTTATTAGAAGATGCCAATCCCAGGCACTGTGCTTTCGGCTGACTCCGCTCTGGTGCTCTACATTGATGCAAAATCATGTCTGAATGCCAAATACATTTTTGTGACCCAGTTTCCCTCAAGGTGTTCCATGGTTTCTCCTCTCTGGAAGTGAGTCTACACAGGTTAGTCAGCACTGCTGCATGCCACATTCTGCTAGAAAAGAAAGGTATTAAAGCTTGTTTTGAAAAAAAATCTTAACTGGTTAAATCAAGCTCTTTTCGCATTTCACTACGATAATGGCTTGTTGGTAAAGTACTGCAAAACATCCTGGTGTTAAAATATCAGGATGTGTTTACGCTTTTTTCAATAAAGATTTTTAAGGAGCAGATTATGACGTAAAAGGCATACCATAGTAATTTCATTAGTGAGCCATGCCTTTTCACGTTTTTTCAGTGCTCTGCTGTCCTACTGTATGTGGGAGGGGTGTGGCTGAGTGGGTTAGGGTTCTGTTACCAGAAGGTTTCTGGTTCAAATATCAGCAGCATAATGCCACCATCGGCCCCCTACAGGGACTGTCTAACCCTGCTTTCTCAGAGAAAAAAAATTATGTGGATTTGGATAAATTTGTCTGCATTATAAACTGTAAATATCAGAAAAGCAAGACCAAGTTACTATTATTTTTCACACCACTAGAGGTCAGCATGGGATTAATGCTGGCGTTACTGGGTGGTTTGCTCGATTTTCATTTTGTATCATCTGGCACAAAATTCTCCGCATATACGTATACAAACACACGCATGTATGTGTTATGTTACATAGATTATTTGTATAATATGCCATATAGCTGATGTACACACTTGGCGAACATAAAGATAATATTCCTCCAGAACATATAATTTGTTCATTTGCCTTGGTGCTCAGGATGATCAGTGGCTGGGGATAAGTGAGAGCATCCACCTTATTGCTAGTCTTCTCTCTCAGTCCAATGTCTTCTTATAAGCCCAAACTTCAAAGGCACCGATTCTCATCCTGTCCTGCATCCTCATTGTCTGGATCTCCGATCAATAAGGAGTCCCGGAAAATCTCATCCTCTGAATAATTCTGATTTTTTTTTTCTGAGAGATATATCAATACTTCCGAAGATCTTTTCTACGTTCGTCATCACAGCTCTGCCAAGTGCTGGATCTTGTTATTGATGTTTTCTAATGAGGTAAAAGCTGTCTATAACTTACTTCACCGCCATCAGAGCTAAAGTTTTACATTGTCGATTACGATTTTACATTGTCGATTACGATTTTACATTGTCGATTACGATTTTACATTGTCATAACCGTTGTTTTCTTTACATTTAGCCATGACCGACATTTCTCTCGGCTCATTAACTTTTCTTGTAAATGTACTCAGATCTTCTGTATTTGCCATTGTAAGTGTGGTTTCATCCAAATATTAAAAGTTGATATTTCTACCACCAGTAGACCCCATAGCTCTTTCCTCCAGTTCAGCTTAACCAGTTCTCCATGCATATAGGTATGATATGGGTATGGCAGCAGTATGCAGTCTTGTCCAACCTTGACCCCAACCAATCTGACATCAGTCAGATTCTCTGAATTATGTCCTGACTGTGGCTGCTTTTGTTTAGAGATGCACTGAATATTTTGCATTGAATGACCTTCAGCATAATCTTAGTTACATGTAATATAAGGGAAATAGCAGCACAGTATTCATACAGTCAGGTCTCCTTTTTAGGTAGTGAAATATAAGCTGATCGCTTTCATTGTAAAGGATATTAATTTGTTTTCCAAATGCATTGGTATAATTTGGTCAACCCTTGATTCTTGATACTTCATTGGTTCTTCACTTGCTTTTAATGTTTCTATTGGGATCTGTCCCCACTGCTTTCTTTTTGGCTGCAATCTCAAGGCTGCTCAGGTCTCCTCTTCCATCACTGAAGGTTCTGACCTCATTAAATGTTTCTTGGTTCTTGATGTCTTTGCCGTAAAGATCTTCAGTTGCTTCCATCTCTGCTCAGTCGTTGTTCCATCAGTTTTTATTTGCCTGTTGACGTCCTTCAGCATACTCACTCAAGGTTGCAACTTCTTTTTAATGTCGAGGACATTTTGAAAAACAGCCCTTGTTTTTCATGCTTATTTCCTGTGGAGCATGATTAAAAAATTTGCTTCTTAAAATTTTGCTTCTTAAAAGTTGGAATTTAGGACAGACTGTCCTGGATCTAACTTGAGAGTTTATCTGAAACCTCAATAGCAATATCTCCACTATTGTCTTGCGACCTAGAGTTCATCTCCCAGAAATCATTCCGACATTTAATGTCTCTAGACATTCATAATCTGAGATAATCACTTAGAGGTTTCCTGTTCAAGGAGAGCAGCAAAGGACAAGAATGGAGATGTTTTATGTAGTGCAGCCCCTTGAAAGGGGCCATAATCAGTTGTGTGCTTAAGAAATCAGACTTCTGGGAAAACATTTGCAGCCTCAAATCCCAGAAGTTGAAACTATTACAATATTTAATTATGGTGATTGCCCTGATAAGGCATTGAAAATCCTGCAGATCAATGGAAACTGGAGGTTTTACAAACTTAAAAAAGAGCTAGTTGTACTGGCTGGTAGTTATATAACAAGAAAGCATAATATGTTGTGAAGCTGAAGAAGATATCGTTCCATCTGCTGGCGACAAATCCCAAGGAGCTCCTCTGATGTGTCAGGCTCACTTCCTCAGACAAAGGCCCTGAAGTCGGGATGCAGATGGTTGCGTCAATTCCGTTGCGACAGCATACTCCCCCGACTACAAAGAACCCTCCCCTCCCATGTGAGATAACCAGAGCGTCACCCCCCAGATTTCAGCAAGGCTCTGCCCTTTTTGGATGGACGGCATAGGAATGACAGTGACAGATGCTTTTGAAAGGAGAGCTACTGTGAGTATGGCACCCAGTCCTCATTAAAGGATCGCCTACTGAGATGCTTCTGCCACACCCAAACCCCCGTTCTTCAGTGTTTAGGAAGCACTAATGATACCCACGAGCCCCCTGTCCCCACAGCCATAGAGAGGAAACTCACCCCATTTCCTGTTACAGCTGACATCCCTGTTGACCGACTTAGGGTCGTTTTTGCATGATGGATTGATGGTCATACCAGCTTACGACGGTCATTCTAGCTGGCTTAGCTGGTCATACGAACTCGTGATCCACCCAGATAAAGCATCAAGGGCATCAAGAGCTGGGACATGAACATCTAAGACCGGCTAAGACCAGCTAAAACCAGCTAAAACCAGCTATGAGCCTAAGCTGGTTTTTATCTGTTATTATCAGCAGGGGTATGAAAACAAATATGAGCAACTGCCAATGGCAGGGGCGATTCTAGGATTTTTTAAGGCGGGGGGGCAGAAGAGGGGCAAACCTTATCATCAGTCAAAGATATGTTTTGAATTTGAACTATATTTGAACCCCAATCAGTTTTCAGCTAGGACCTGTACCTCAGTGGGCTCGTCTCCGTATGTGTCCCTAGCTTACGGTCACATAAGATGGGGAGATGGGAACACAGCCCAAAATGAGAGTATACGGTAAAGGCTGAGCAGTGGGGCATCATACTAGATTCAAATCCTGACCGCACAGATTTAACAGGTAAGTAAACAGTTTCTCTAATGTAATTCCTTTTTGAAAGAAAAGAAACGGATTGTGGTTTATAAATACAAAATGGGTTTACTCTGTTGGCTTTGTAAGTTAATGTGGTAACTGCAATTTGTAAGTAATTCCCAGTTAATGATGCTGGGAAAAACTTGCTAAAGAAAAATATTGTGGTACTATTTCACTTAGTCATTCTGGCCATTAATTTGGATAATGGGATAAGTGTGATTTGTTATTACTCATGATGCACATCCACAGCATCAATAATATCCCTCTTCTTTAGACTTTCCATCCATCTGCTTTTCCTGCTCCAGGTACGTCCTGGACGGGATGCCAGTCCATCACAGGACTAATGCACATACATAATATTACTTTATGTTGCATTTATTTATTTAGTTGATGCTTTTTTTCCAAAGTGATGTACAAGCAAGGCACATAACAATTTAATTTGCAAAAGACAAATTAAAAGGAAACTTTGCCTTAACTACATGTCTTTGGGCCAAAGGAGGACACCAGAGAGCCCAGAGGAAACACGGCTAGAACATGCAAACTAAACGGAGCCGAGATGAGATTTGAACACCCAACCCTGAAGGTATGACCCTAAACTAAAACAATCAGCTTTTATTAATGTGGCATTTAGCACTAAAGTCCCTGTTTTAGTAGCATAATTTTTCACCCTTTGGGTCCATTGCCAAAGTACCTAGTTGTGACTGGTTAGCTTAATGTCCGCTGATGGCTTTCCTTCGTTTTCCCACACCAATCACACCTGTCAACATTCCTATTCATGGGATGCTCTGCTCAGTGTCCAGAGTGTCACTGTCACAGGTCACTGTAACTGTGTGAAGTAATGATCTTCCCCAAAAACAGTAAGAAGAGAAACAGCGAGCATTTAGATGCCCTGTATTTTGTAAGCAGCCAATAACCTTCATGTATTTCATTGAGTAAATGAATAATTTCTTGAAATCACTACCCTCCATCATGTCATACTCTGAAATAGATACAAGGCAGGAATAGAAGAAAAAAACTGATTTTATCCAAAGCAATGTACATTTTGAGAAGGCGGAGTCAGCCAGTTACTGGAGCAAATGGAATTAATGGCCTTGCTGAAGGACCCCACAGTGACAACACTCAGCAACCACAGGATTATACCAACAACCTTCTGATCATGGGCACAATGGCCTAACTCAGTTTATGAACTGTGACACACATGTCATTGTGTGTAACGTTTTGGTATTGGTATCATATTCATGACTTTTTTGGAAATAGATGCAGAGTTATTTGTCACTATTATAAACTTTGCTTCAAAGGAGATACTTGAGGCATTAAATCAAGGAAAAAACATGCAAAAATAGGTGAACCAAAACACAGGTTGTGGTTTACAGTAACAGCATGACAAATAAACAACATTTTTTATGATCCGTTCCCGGCCTTGTTTATACATCGTCAGTTTTACAGTTGTTGATTTTTTTTTACAGTTGTTCTGATGAGATAGTAAAAAATATGTACCCTCAGCAATAAGTACCATATGTCTCCTACGAGATGCCCTTCAGTCTGCTGTACTGTGGCCACTCGGAGGCAAGTATCTTAGGTCAGCATACTCCCGGTGACACTGTTGCCTAGGTAACAGCCGGACCCAGTACAAACACCACTGGCACTTGACCAGCGTGGGTTTCTGAAGTGGTCGTCCATTTCCACAGTTTCGGCGCTGTGAAAATAAAAATAATAACATTCATAATGACTATGACAAACGTCTGCCAAATTGGCATTTTATTAGTGCAGGTCCAACCCCTGACCGTTTGACCTTACGGTCACAATCTCAGATGAGCACAGCACACCATTATGGAACTGAAATTGCTTGTTTTAATACAACAACACTTCCAAGGTTACAGAATATACTTAGCTGAGTTCAAATGAAATCAAACAAAACGAAAAATGGAAAGTAAAGTAAAGTTTTTGTTCTGACACAAAATGATGTGGTTCATCCAGGGTCACAGTCGTATGAACTCCAGAATCTTAGAACAATAAATATTGCTGAAGTATACGTATAAAATAAACCTTACAGAATAAACTTTTATTTTATAATCAGAAAAGCTGGGATCAAGAATAGCACTGCGGCTAGATGGGTGATGTTGTTGTGTAACACATCTATGTTCTGCTGATATCTTCCCCTTGTATCACATGGGTCCCCTCCCACCTGTCAGAGCCTGGTGTCCTTCCTTGTGCCCTATATAACCTGGCATAGGGTCCGGACCCCCTGTGACCCAGATAAATGACTGTGAGATGGACAGGTGGAGGAGGCTTGATTGTGTGCGGCAGAAATACTGAGCAAAGCTTGCAAATCTTGTATATTGAATTTCCTTACTGACATTTATATCTCATGTACTTTCATATGGTCATAAAATGCATAAAATAACCGCATGAATGACAGGTGCGGCCTGGATAAAGGTTCTTGTAATAATAATAAAAAAAAATCACACACACACATGCACACACACGCTCCAGATATTCATATCTTTGTGGGGACTCTTCATTCATTTCTCTGGAAAAACCCTAATCCCAACTACAGTATGTGAACCTTAACCCCTACCCAGCCCTAACCTTAACCATAAGTAACTAAACAAAATACAAGACTTTTGGCATTTTTACTTTTTTGATTGCATTTACAGGTCTTTGTGGGGACGTGTAAAATGGTCCCCATAATGCCAAAATATCAGCTTTTTATTACATTGTGGGGGACATTTGGTCCCCACATTGTAATATAAAACTAATCCACACATACACACACACACAAAAACACACAGGATCCATGTCACCAGCATGCGGACTGTGGTTTGCACTTAGGGCTGCTGTACCACTCGGGCTGACCAAAGGGGGCACCATGGCGATAATGATAATGCCAAGCTGGGACAGGACAGGATGGGGACCGGCAGGAAGGAGAGGAAGTCACTGTAATTGCCAACAAAATATCTTTGACACAATTATAAACATTTTTGTTGCAGTAATAGGAAATATAAAACAATTAAAATATACATAATTACTACTCTTACCCTGGATATGAAAATGGTCTATTCCTGTCTGAATATTCAGAATACCACAATGTGTAATACTGCATATGGTCAATCTTAGTCAGTTTCAAGAGAGATCCTGGGTTTGGCAGCTAATGATGTGCTACAGACCTCGGGAAGGTAATGGGACAAACGTGACTGTAGTAGCCCTTTAATACACTATGTGCGCAGGCATGACTTCTCCACTATGCCCATACACTGTGTTCTAGTGACCATGCATCCCACATTTCCACAGTGCACTGATTCTGTGGGGATCCAGTAATCAAACAATCGAAAAAGAATTTCTTTAAATCAGGTGTCTGGAGTCCACTTTGGGCCAGGGGCTTACCAGAGGTATAAGGTCCTGACCTTACTGGTCTGCTCGAAACACAAGTTGACACACATACCGAAAAACATGAGTGTGGGCTGCTTTTGCTGTGCAGTTCCCTGTAGTCTCCTCACCTCCTTTTCACAGACCTTAAAAAAGACTCCCCAGGACTGACAAGTGGAGGGTCCTTGCTGCCCTTCCTCCGGCCTCATTATTTTGATCTTAAATGTTCTCTGCAGTCATTCACCTCCGTGACCCGTCTCTTGGCGAACTCCAGGTACCAATCGTTTCAGATCCGCTGGGTGACTGACTTTAATTACATCCTCTGTCATTCCATGCCTCTCCGTCTGCAACCCCCACAATCCCCAGGATCCTGTTCATGCTATTTAAAAAGGAAAGTGTATCTCTGTGTGCATGTGTGTGTGTGCCCAAACTGTCAAGAGCATCAAGTTAACAGAGACCATACCAGCTATGAGGCTGAAAGAGCTATTGAGTCCATGGAGTACAACCATTTCTGAAACTAGTTAAGAATCTCTCTCATCATCCGTCAAATAATGATAATGATCATGGAAAAAGTACAATCTCAGCTCAAATGGCTATCAAATGATTTATCATTTCCATATTATTATGATGCAGATTATATTATTCCCCCCATGATCTTGAAAAGTAGCAAACAAATGAACTGATTAAACATGTTTATTTATCATGTTCCAAGTAAAATAAGTGGCGTTAGGGAGCACCTATGATTGACTTTGCTTCATTACACGTTATTCTTCATTATTGTTGATTATTACTCTATGACCTACACGTGTAACAAAAGCCTTCAGGGAACTGGGATCCACACGCAGGGTAAATGGGGAACAGGTATGATAGGCAGAGGCCACAGTCAGTGGAACAAGTCGGAGTCCGAAAGCCAGAAGGTCCATCCAGGGAGCATGAGCTAAAATGGCACAGGCTAAAACAGCGCAGGCTAAAGCGGTCTAGGCTAAAGCAATGCAGGCTAAAACAACACAGGCTAAAGCAGCGTAGGCTAAA